TCTTATTGATCTAATTTAAAAAGGAACTACAGTATCAGTTTTAATTATCTGTTTTTCTATTTTTGTTTTGATTTTGCTGTTGTAATACCAAAGGTTACAAACCCCAACTGTAATCTTCGATGGCTTTCCGGTCTTCGGAACTGAATCTGTGAAATTGAAGCATACAAATTAAAAAAAAACTTATTAATATCCACTATGTATATTGGTGTCTTTTTCAGAGAAATATGTTTGTAGTTATCAATTCAAAATTTATTAAGAACATGTCCACTTCAAACAACAAGCCTAAAAAATGAAAAATCTCTAAAATCAAACATGTTTTTCATAGAGATATTTTTTGTAGACCTTTGACAAACAAGAGCTCAACTTATTTAGCACAGGCTTAAATTTGTACCGTCCAATTCCAGTAGTGCTTTGAAGGAAATCGTCGTGAGTGTTGAAACTGCTATTCACCACGATTATCTGCCCGAGGCTTCCAAGGTATTTACAAGAGAGGCTTGTAGAAATAAACTATCAAAAAATATATGGTTTGTTGAAAATGATGCTAACATACTGTAGCAAAAACGTGCTTCCAGAATTAGAAATTAAGTATATATTTGTAAACGAATGCAGTTTTCTTTGGTAGCATTATAAAGATCCAAATCCAATTTACAAAATGTCGTGATAGCCGAAAGAAACCTAAATGGGTTATAAATCGTATTTGGATCTTTAATTAGGTAGATTTGAGATCGAGGGAAAAAGGGCTTATCTTAGTTCTCACGGGAGTAGATTGCTTAATGGCAAAAAATGTGGTTTTGTGCCTATGCTTATACTGAATGGTTTTCCTTGAGAGATAAAAAATCGGCAGAAAAGAAGTAATCACAAAAAATAATAATATAAATTAAATATCACTGTAATCACAAAACTTCAATCTATTTCCGTATTGTAACGGAATTTTAAATTATGTCTTGTATGTAAAGCGGAGGATCCGTGTAATTAACAGGTAATTGCTTGGTATTAAAATATTGCATTTTTTATTTTAATTTTCAAAGTTAAATAACTCATATATTTTCAATTTATTTTAAAAATGGTGAAGGGAAAATATGTTTTTATGCCAGAACTACCACCCCTTAAAATACTTGCACTTATTTCTGGGACACCCTGTATATTTAAGATATTTAAAGAAGTCATCTGAAATACCACAGGCCAAAGAACTTCGAGATTTTAAGTCTACAAGCATTAGATCTGTCTGGAAAGTTTAGTGATAAAGCCCAGAAAAGACGAGTTTAAGTAAAAAGTTAAACAGCTAATGCAGATATAAATTGTTAGTTTTAGGATTCAGTCCGAGTTTTCCAAAAGTGATACGATTCGAAATAGATGTAATATTCCTGCACTGAATATTTTCACATATACAGCAATAAAACAAAATTTTGCTGAAAAGCTTGTCCGACAACCATTAAAATTGCATTAAAATACTAATTTGTTTCAAATATGTTTAATATATACATATTTAGCATAATTAAATACATTTTACTGCTCGCTAAATAATTTAATTATTTTGAAACAGTAATCTGAAAGTTTTAGTATGTCTATAATAATGCGTTGTAATTTAAAACAATTTTATTTTATAACAAATATTTTAATACATAAAAAAATATATAGCATGATTTTTTAATTATTATAAAATTTTGCAGAGAACTGAAGTATGTAATAAAAAAATGAAAGTACAAAAATTGCTTTCAACTTCCGGTATTCTCGTTGTGAAACAATGATGCGCAAAAAATCTCCGATCTAGATATTGTAGTTCTCTAGAAACTTCTAATGCACGGCTCAGCACAAAAATATGTTGCCATTGTTTGTTGTTATCCCGAATTTATATTCCTGAATTTCAGGCACGTGTCTGAAGACAGAAATCCGTACGCTGTCATAAATCACAATCACCCCTGCCCTATCACCTCTCACATAGAACGTTTCAGGCCTTCTAGCTTTGGTATTAAACTATGCCCTGCTCCTTTTCGCAAGTCGACTGTCACAACAACTGATAACTTCGAATCGCATTAGACTAGGCACAGTTGTTTAGATTTGTTAAGACGGCGACTTGCCTCTAGCGTTATCACATTCTGACATTTATACGTGTGATTTCTAAGAAGGAAATAGTTTCTAGAAATCTTCATTTCCTTTTAAGTTAGCTTTCTTTATTTGAAAATTAAGTTGATTCTTTAGGTGCCCGGTGGCGTAGAGGTACACACAGGCTCTCGTCTACCAATCTCAAGGTAATGGGTTCGAATCCCACACCCGGCATTTCGTCAGCCAACTATTTTTATTTAAAATAAAAATAGTTTGGGTACCTAGGTCGACTCAGCCTTAAATGAGTACTTGGGATTCACAATCCTGAGGTAATAATGGGCGGTTGAAGCGTAGTGCTAGCCACATTACCTTCCTTGTATACCGAACGGCTCTAGTATAGCAAACCGTACCTTGCTACCCCCAAAGCATTAAACGCTATATATGGGAGCTATTATTATTATTATTATAAGTTGATTGTTTTAATTGCAGTTTTCCCTTTAGGAGAATATGGGATTATGACAGAAAATTCTCAACTGCGACAATAAAAAAAAAAGATTTCAGTTTTTGCTGCCAGGGCTAATCTGGACGGGGCCTACTTTGTTTACGCGGAATCCGAACCGCGGTCCTCGGCCATATCATGGTCAATGGCCTACCGATTTGGCAAATGTCTAAATCGACTCTTACTCACGAGATATCCGATCTCATCCGGCCTCGAACCGGCGTGAATGAGCAGTGTGTATCAATATAATTTTAAGTAGTAGAGCCCTAATATATGAATATCCAATACCGGGTGCGTCTCAAAAGTGGCTCACCCCTATAACTTTTTTATTTTTTTAGATAAAATAACGAGACTTAGGGTGTATTCCGTTGCTTACCTTGGTTATGGTTTTATGTTCCGTTTCTATAGGTTTCCTGAAAGTTTTCTTATTACGGAACACGGTTCCTGAAAAATATCGGTCATAACTGTCACCAAACTAACCAGCGCGAGAAGGCTGGTTTTTCTGGTTTTGTTTGTCAATCAATGTCATTTATGTGACTCAAGAGAAATCAAGCAAATATTGGAAGTTCGAGTAAAGTTCTCATTTAATTTCTAAAATTTGTAATAATATTTTGTATTTACATCCAAAAGCAATGGAGGTAGGTAGTAAAGGTAAATAAATTTCATTAACTAAGTGATTTAGGACCATTTAAACTTTTATCATGCAGCCATTGTTTCTTAAACTCAGGAACATTTAAAGAAATCATGAAAGACAAGACAAGTAATCGTGAATGTTTTGTAAGTTATAAAAATATAAATATTGATTAGATTTGTTTATTTATTATTGATCTATTTTAATATTGGACATGCAAATCTTCACTTGAGCTGCCTAACGAGTTAACAGTTCATTAATAAAGTACTTTTCAATATTAAACTCCATTGAAAAGAAGAAGCAAACGTAAAAACAGAGAATAGGTGCATTAAAAATGCATCAAAGATAAATTTTATAATAGAGGTATTGAAATTTAGAAAACGTCAACATTTTGACGTTTCCAGTATTTTACCAAAGCGTTCCGTATCAAACCGATGTTTTTCAGGAACGGCTCTTTACCGTAGTTTACAGGTCTGGTTCGCTTGGTTTTGCAACGGAATACAGACTGATATGACATTCTGAATAGAATGATATATCATACGTAAATTTTTGACATTCTCGCTTAATAAAAAAGTGTGTTTTAAATTTCAATATAGAGTGCCATGGCTATGCTAAAAACACTAATTTGTAATCAAGAAGCCTTGGAAAAATAGATTGGATCGTCTAGTGTTTTTAGTGTCTTGTCCTGGCCAGTTAGAAAATGCTCAAATCGTATTTTAATCATATCTCAATTTTTTCAAATGGAACGAGGGTGGCTCATTAGCATATCTGGAAAAAGCATTTTTTTGAATAATTTGATACCACACACTTAGAATTTCAATTTTCAAATTTTCGTTACAAACCGCAAGTTATAATTTCAAATAATGGCATATGATATGTCATTCGATTCAGAGTGTCATTTTCTATCGAATAAAGTAAAAATATATCGAGGATGCTATTTAAAAATCAAAAGTTGTAGTCATTTCGGGTAAAACAGGAAGTGACCAGAAATAATTGAATACGTCAATCAATCCTAATTTATGGTGTATACCAACATACTAAATCTCGTTTTTTTATCTGAAAAAATAGAAAAGTTATAGCAGTGAACCACTTTTGAGACGCACCCGGTATACATATTTCAATATCCATACATTTCGTTATAATATGCAGACATCCGAAAACGGATACTATTCAAACCCTTAATTTTATAATATACAGGGTGTCTCAGAAATAAATGCAAGTATTTTAAGTGCTGGTAGATCTGGTCAAAAGAAACATATTTTCTTTTTACCATTTTTCAAATAAATTGAAAATAACCGAGTTATTTAGCTTTAAAAGTTTAAAAAAATTGGGACATTTTGAGAGCCGCCGGGGGAAATCGGCAATTTCCCGGATCTTGGCTTGTTCAACCAATCAATCATTTGTTCAATCAGCTGTTCAAACCAAATCACCATTGTAATAAAGTTTATACAAAGTTCACTAAAACTATTAAAATTCGCTAAAATTGTCGCTGTTGGCCAGCTGATGACTTTTAGTGCCGTAACCATAGAGTAAAGCCGTAACTATGGTAATATCAGAGATTAAAAAAATATACCGTGGTAAAATTTGCGGTTTTAGAACAGGCAGTTCTAGAAAGTTTTCGAAAAATATAGAGGAAAATTTAAAAGAAAATGCACGATTTTCAACATCATTTTTTGCGAAAAAACTGGTATATTTCGACCCCAGAAACACGTCTATGGTTCCTGGGGTCGAAATATACCACCCCTGAAAAAATATTTGCACTTAATTTAAGACTCAGTCTGTATAAATATTGTATATTAAATATTTTGTAAATAATCTTAAACTCACCAATATTCCTTGCAAGATTCGTTTACTGAAGTCCCAAATACTAACACAATCTGAAAAAAAACACAAGTGTAAATAATTATTATTTTTTTAATATTTTTCAATCTAGTACAATAATTTAGTAATATTATTAGTGAAATTATTCTTTTTTGTTTACAAACAGAAAATCATCATACTAGAATATTGTTGTATGTCTAATTGTGTATGTGATTTACAATCAATAGCTGGAAAGTCTCTCTTTTATTTCAAAAACTGTGTTAAGATTGGTTATAAATAAATATAAAAGCTTCAAATCACAAAATCCAAATAATACACAATCTTTTTGTTGGGAAATATAAAACTCTTACTAAAAAAATATAATAAAGAAGGAATAATATTCAAGGAAACAGAGAGACAAAATAATTGGATGTATACAGAAGCAATCAAATACAAATATAAAGCTAAAAAGTCGATACTTTTTATATCTGATAAAGAACTCTTGCTGCTTTATGGTGGTTCATAATTATGTGTATGGACCTAAATTTATTTTACTGCTAATTTACAATCTCCTTGTTATTTTTTTTTCTCACAAAGCATAATATTAACCAAATAAAAACGGCGCCATTGCTTAGGATTGACGATCGATGACATTGGCCATATAATTTTACATATAAGATGATAATTATACAGGGTAAGTAGTCTGAATTGTATTCCGGAAACTTCGACAGCATATTCTACAGATAAAAATAAGTAAAAAAGTTCGTATAAATGTATGTTCTAAAATGCTTAGTTTCGGAGATACAGGGTGTAGAAGTTTCATTTTTGTTTCAATTTGTTCTAAATAATTTCTGAAGTAACGTCCATATTTAGATGAAAATTGGTGTCTGGGAGTTTTTTGACATGAGAAATTTGATTTTGATATCAATATGATTCTTACTTGTAGAGGGCGCCACCTACATGTGTTTTAACTGTTTTGAAGTGTAATAACTTTTTGTCCGTACCTGTATGAAACAACTGAGTGAAAAAATATACATTCTTGTAATTTTCTACATAAAAAATGTCCCTTGATAAAAATCGCTACAAGCAACGGTTCTCAAGATATTTAGAATGGAAATAGTCAATACACGTCATTATTGACAAAAAATAAACACGTTGAGTAGATAGTTATATGACTGAAAGAATATATTTGGGAAATTTTTATTTTTTTAAATTGATCATAAATTTTTCTGCAAAAAAAAATATGATAAAACAGTTTTTGTTGAACTTTTGGAACAAAAATATATCAAATTTATGATTTCAGTCTAATAACTATTCAGTCAACATCAACATATTTAATTTATGTCAATGACAGATATTGATAATTTCGACTCCAAATATCTCGAGAACCATTACTCGTAGCGATTTTTACCAAGAGACCTTTTATACGTGAAAAAAGTCGTGAATGTATATTTTTTTACTCAGTAGTTTTATACAGGTACGGACGAAAAGTTATTATGTACCCTTCAAAACAGTTAAAACACACATAGGTGGTGCCCCCTACAAATAGGAGTCATGTTGACATGAAAATCAAATTCCTCATGTCAAAAAAACCCTATGCACCAATTTTCATTGAAATATGGACGTTACTTGATAAATTATTTGGAAAAAATCTCGAAATAAAAATGAAATTTGTACACCCTGTATCTCGGAAACTAAGCATTTTAGGACATACATTTATACGAACTTTTTGACTTATTTTCATCTGCAGAATATGCTGCCGAAGTTCCCGGAATACAGTTCGGACCACCCTGTATAATATTATATGGTATACAGTAGGTGAGTCTTAAATAAACTCAAAAATTTTCACAAAAAAAACACCTGTTTTTCACAAAAAAAACACCCCTTATTTTACCTGTTTATATTTAAAGTTTTCAAAAACATGATATTATATTTTTCGTTGTGGTTTCACCAAAGGACGATACAATATTTTTTTAAGTTACAAACTTGTTAGTAATACCTTTACGAATATGTTGGCAACATGTTTTATAATATAAAACAAACAAGTTAAAAAGTTTTCGTTTTGGAGCAAGTTTCCGCCAAAAAAAACTCTAAACGCCACGAAACTGCGACGTAATGATACGGAGCTTCAAAATAACAAACAAGCAGAAAAAGTTATGAAATTGAGGCTGTTGTTATCTGATCAATACAACTCTCCGCAGTTTATTAGAGACGACGTGCTCGGCGAAAGTATGTGTTGTACGGCTATAAATTTCATCAGATTTACAGAATTAGTTCATAGCAAACACGTCTTCCTTCTATAGCGTGCAGTTGAATTTTAGTTATTTTCAAAACTACGTGTTTTCAAATAATGCATAGCAATTTTCTACTGTATCGAAACTTCAGGTTTGAGTAAAATAAAGTCTCCTCCATTCAATAATATTCTTTTTTGGTATTATTTCACTAGAAATAAAAAAATTTATTCTAGTGCTGGCATTTCTGTTCTTGGGTGCCGATTTTCGTGTGTACGAAGAGTACGGTCAACAGGCTTAGCAAAATAAGATGTACTGAATAAAGACAGAAGGCAAGTATTTTCCCAAGCGCATGGAATCTAGCGTCAGATTAAGTGGTTATGTAATAAATTGTACTCCTGGATTCACTCCTATACATGTAACCGCCGCACAGTGCTTCGAACATATGGCTCTAGAGGACAAAAATGCAGAACTTCTCTTTTATTGTAGGCAATTTATTCAAACTAGGTTTATTTGACACAAATGATGAGTACTCTCATTGTACTAAATGATGATGTTCTTAATCCCACGCTTATAAAAAAATCTTATAAATTATAAAAATGTTGGAGCTGTGTTCCATCTAAGGAAATAATAATTTATAGTATGAAAACGGTGTAAGTATTAAATAAATCCCTGTGATAAAAAAGAATTGAAATAACATTAGAACATGATTCCTACAATATAAGCCTAATATAAGATAAAAATATTTTTCTTTAATGAAAAAGAAACATTAATGTTATATTTAATTAAAAAAAACTTAAGATACAAGATACTATAAATTTACTTTAGGACGACAAAATGCATAGATTGTAACTACTCTGATTCAGAAAAATCACTGCAGACAGAATCTTCCAAATTTATAGTATCCAAATCACAGGTAGATGAAGTATCCTCACATATAAGATATTTCTGTACATCATTTTCTAATATGTTACTTTTTCGCATTGTTACTGTTCTTTTTGTTGGTATCTTAATATATAAACTTTTTTATTTTTGTTTAGAAATAAATTTAAAGTACATATGTACCTTGTTTAACAATATCCATAGTGACTTTCAATTAAGTACGTCCCGTTTAACTCCATAATATACAGAACTACTATGAATGTTATTCTTTTCACTGATAAGATAATGATCGCAAAATTTATTTTTAGTGAAAATAGTTGCTAACAAAAAACGCTGTTTATGAAAAATAATATACAGGATGGTTGAACATTACTATAAGTATAAAATTACATATTCAGATATTAGTAAATTTTAACTTTTTTTTCGATTTTTGTCCATGGGACGAAGCACTGTGCGCCGCGCCGATCCAAGGTTTCGCTAGCCAGCAATCTAAATGAATTAATTGCAATTCTAAATGAATTAAATATTAATATTATTGTATTAAAATATGAAGAGTTAACTATCCTGAATACCTAACTGTAAAGCCCCATACTCACACTTCGCTACTTCACTTCGTTCCTTCGTCGCGTCCCTTCGTCCAAAAATCCTATATTTACTATGGGAAATTGTCGATTTTATGGGACTGTGTGTTCCTTCGTTCCTTCGTCAAAACGCTCCTTCCCCGTACTGTCGGTTTTTGGACGAACTAGCAAAGGAATTATCACGAACACAAAATATATTAAAATATATAAATCGATCTTGGATTTCATTCGTAGTTGTTTTCTTGATTTGGCAGTACGTCTGTATAGGGTGTCCCATTTTCGTGTGTTTTGCAGTGTTTCTCGTTTATGAGTCGAAATACAAAGATGCGGTTGTCACATTACGATGTTACTTTTTATGAAACTAAAGATGCTACATACAGATATGTCCTAGCTCTCTTACTTCCTAAAATACAGCGCGAATCTGAAATTATTGCATTGTTTGATCCCCTTTGTATCTCGGTTATCTATATAGTTTTATAATAAGTAGAACAATGATGTGAAAACGGCATCCTTATAACCTCTACTCATAAACCAGTAACCCCATAAAACACACAAAAATGGGACATATACATCTAGCAATCGCCAGTCGATATAAAAATAGATATCACACACAATAGTCTTAAAAATGGAAGGAAAAAACAACATTGTCTTCATGTTTGTGAAGAAATACATGTCCATATTTATGTAATCGTAGCGACAAAATTAAAAAAATAGAAATAGTGTGCATGATGCCTTTACAAAAATATCTGAAGAAATGGGGATTTACATCAACGTTTAATTAGTATGTCATGTTTCATAGTTTTGATATAAATGACATAATAAACTTTAGTCTATTGTTGACTCGCCTTCTACATTCATACTGATATACCTTGTACATGATACTGAAATATTCGGATTTATTCAAAAAAAATTATATTTTTTATAAAATAGTTTTATAAAATAAAAATTATGCCCCTTTCGGATTTTTTAAAAATTTTATAGGTTACTAGGTATTTCGTAATAAACATGTAGCTGCCATATTAAAAATATCTTGTGGTGTGCTGTTGCATCATCGACTAATTTCCAAGCATCGAATGGAACGAAGGAAGGAAGCGAAGGGACGAAGGAACGAAGTGAAGTGACGAAGTGAAGTAAGGCAACGAAGGAACGAAGGAGCGAAGTGTGAGTATGGGGCTTACCAGTAAAGAGATTTCATAATTTAGAAAGTGTTATCTTTTGAAAATATTTACCAATAAAGCATGAAAAACAATTTTAGATAGAATCCCATAATATGATACAAAACTGACACAATATAAATGTAAGAGAAAATTTACATATAGGTAATAAATATTAGTTAGTTCTTTTTACTATTTACTAACTTAGTC